ACTCTGGCAAAGAGGCATGCTCAAAAGAGCTATTACCACAGTGGGCAGTCACTGGGCAAGGGCTGTGTGCTGCCACCCCTCAGGAGCCCGCCTGGATGACCACTCCCTCCAGCACCTGCAGCACAGAGGAAGAAGGTGCCCACCCCCCCGAAGGGCATATGCTCACTTTATTTCCAAAGACTGTGCTTCCCACCCATTTTGCTCTGATTTTCCAGAAACATCAGCCATAATTCTGAATTACTCTTTGGACCCTTTCTACTGGGAGGGGCTGAACAAATATTCTCTGATGTATATTGGCCCATCTTGGTAAAAAAAAATCTCACCTGTGTGTTCAACCTTAAGCCCTGGCAGGCAGGTGGATGCTGAGAGGCTGCGTGGGAGCAAGGTTGCACACGTATTGCTTCCTCATCATCATTATGAAAGTGGCTGCTAGATGAGACAGTAGCTGTCGAGCTGTTCAGGAACTAAGCTGATCTTGAAGCCTGTTGAAATGGGGAGTGGTGGAACCCACTGCTGACGCTGAGTAAGAATGTTTGAATCTTCCCTGCTGTCCCCTAGATGCAGGTGGTGCTGATCACGCCCCACAGAGATGTGCAGGGCCATGGAGGGCCTTGCCCCAAGATCACCTCCAAATCAGGCAGAGCTGGGAATGCTGCCCAGGTGGTCAGCACCAAAGCCTGAGCTCTGTCCTTGGCTCCCTCCCCTATGGAAGTGACAGCAGCAGATGGTCTCTCCCTCCCTTCCCTCCACGCCTCTGCATTTCATCTCCACCTTTCAACCTGGGTTTCCACAAGCTGGGTCAGTTCCCCTCATGAGCTGTTGTCAACTGAGCACCTGCCATCCTGGAGTGCTCTCTGGCAGCAGCCTGCTGTAGCTGACTCTCTATACATACCTCTCAAGCTTCCTCCCATCACTGTGGAGTTCTGGGACCCACAAAAGCAACAAGGCTCAAAACAGGGTGGCTTCAGCCCACAGTAAGAGTCCTGCAGTTCTGTGGCTGGACTTACAGCCAGCTCGCTACTAGGGCACCTAGGCCGGTAGCCCTCCCTGGAAGGCATTGTACACGATACAGCAGTGTCTGCAGGCAGGTGGTGAGCTCCGGTGTGAAGGTTCCTCTTCAGGAAAACACCTTGCAATTTCCCAGGTTAATAGTCACTGACATCACTTCCCCATGTAGAGGAGTAAGAAGGAGGGGCTAGGGTTAGAGCTGTGTCAGGACGTGGGCAGAGGCATGGAGGGGCTGGCAGTGCTCCACAAGGATTTGGGGAATAATCCTTGGCTCTTGGAGTCAGATGGATCTGAGCTGGAATCCTGGCAATGGGATGTTATTCTGGGTGACCCTACTCAGTTTCTTGGTATCTCAGTTTTGTAACTGCAGGAGATGGGATACTGCCTTGGGCATGCTTCCCAGCATGGCCATTCCAGGGCTGCCCTTGCAGGGGTGGCTGTACACTTGGGAAACGGTCGGCTGCTCACCGGGCAGCAGGCCATGGTGGGCGGGTCTGTCCTGTGCAGCTCTGCCAACAGCGGGAGTAAGAAGTGGGCTACTTTGAGGTGCTTGGTCTCAGCAAAGGAGAGTCCAGGAAAGCTGAAAATGAAACTGAGAGGGCTGAGTATGAGAGATGCTCAGCATGAGGCCCGCTGGCCTGTGACCTCTGCCTCTGTGGCCTCTGCCGCCGGGCAGAGGACCTGTGCATCCAGAGTGTCATCCTGTCGTCTGCTATGTGAAGCAAATCGCAGGCTTTTCTGGGCTGGTGAAAGTTAAATAGGGAGAATGTGTAGACAGCACCTGGCACAGGGCTTGCTGTATAGTAAGTGTCCCTTCATTTTGTTTTTTTCTCTTTTTAATTTCATGGGCACTGTTGGCCACAGTTTTGTTGTGGGTAACATAGGGTGCTTACTCAATGAGGAATTATTGAGAAGTATCCCCCCACCCCTGCCAGATGACCAGATAAATGCAATTCCAGTGGCTGCCTCGGCCAGTGTTCTGACCCCAAGGTTGCTGCCTGCTGGGGTTTTCTCTCCCTTCTGTGTTCAGCAGGAAGAAGCCTGGGACTGGAGACTATTTTCACACCCAACTGAGGAGTTAAAGTTATTAGTTCCTTTTGAGTTATCATGCAAGGAACTTAAATTGGCATTTTTAGTGAAACTTCAGAAATATTCTGACTTGCCGTTTGAAGAGAGCTCTGATTGACTCCAGTGTACTAGGAGGTGAGGGAGTAAGAAGTGCTGCTGCAGGGTGGGAAGTGCTCACTCTCAGAGCTGGGTAAGCACCTGAAAAGCAGTGGGTTTCAAGGATAATTCAGACCCGCAAATTAAAACATCAGTGAGCTAGCATTTTGCCTTTTACTACCACAGATTAAAAATTGATCTTTGCCAATGGTGGCAAGGGTGCAGAGAGAGGCGGGCCCCCGCTGTGCCACGGGGGAGGCCTCTGTGGAAGCTGCGTGGGAGCCTGGCATTCTGCATCTGCGCCTCACAGGCCTACACTCTCAGGGTGGCCCCTGACCCAGGGCCGGGCCTGAACGCACACAGAAGCAGTCAGCACAGAGACGTTTGTCTGGATTGTTTTTATAATAGTAATTTCTTTGAATGGAAAAGATTTCACAGATCAAAAAATAGAGGAATTGTTATGTAAATTATGACACATCCATATGATAGAATATTTTGAAAATAAATTTTAATGATATGAAAAGTGTTCATGGTATATTAAGAGAATAAAATAAGACTTCAAATTATATGTGTATATATAATAACGCATAATGATTTATACCTGTATGATGATTAAGCTACATTCAAGTACACATAGAAGGTCAGACAATAAAGCTTATGAACTCATCCTCGAAAAAGTACCTATACCTTGTTGCTGAATGTCACAATGGTCACCTTCGATGTCCTCCCCATGGGAAACTATACACCAACACCAGGACCTAGACCACACTTCAAAGCAGTTTTCCTAGGACAAGTTTGCAAATTTAATTGTGAAGCCTCATGCGACGACAGTGCTGATAGTCATTCTAGAAAAAGAGTTCCGACGTTATTCTGAAGGGTGGACTAGGGATACGCTTCCCAAGGGGAGTACTTCAGAGGTGCCTGCGGTGTTATTCAACAATGAGGTGTGCAGCACTTTTTCTAGGATGAATTATCTATTTGTGCACTGAATTATCTGATGTCATACTTAGGGAAAATACTATAGAATTGAGATATTAACACGAGAGTGTAAAATTTGATTGCTTTTATTTTCTTTCTTATGCTTCTTTCTATTTCTTAATTTTTTACACTAAGCTATCTGCTTAGATAACAGAGAAGATCAACAAATGTGTTTTTTGACCAAGTGTTTGTGCCACAGAGGCACAGTGCTGGGTGCTCACACAGCAGCACCTGGCGCCTTTGTGGCTCGGCCAGACCTGCTGCACTAAGAGCAATCAACTTAGGGTGGCACAGTGCTTCTTCCCATGCTGTCATGGCTACCAAGCCCTCTTCTTTGGGTTTAATCTTGTGTCTTTGCCCCTTTAACGGCAGTTCCTCCTGCCTCTTATTTAAGGGACAGCTTCAGAGGGCAGTTGGAGCGCAGCTTACCTGAATTCTGGCCATGGTGCAGTCTCCGTGGTAATCCAAGGCACCAACTTCTGTCCCCTGACTGATGAACTCTCAGTCATCTTTCAGCTGGATTCCAAGACACAAAAACCCCTCCTTCCCTCTCTCCCTCATTCATCCATGTAATGCACTTTTGTTGAGTACTTACTGTTGGTTTGATTTTGTGCTGAGAGGTGGGCCCAGCCCCAGCCCATGTGAGCATGGTGGTCTGAAATGGAGACAGGCTACAGAAGGTCAGTGGAGCTTCCAGACACATGAGCTGTGTGTCTTCTCCAAACCAGACACTGTGTCTAGGGACCCAGGCAGAGCTGGGTGTAGTGCAAGGCCTGGTAGGCAGTAAGGAGGCAGAGGTCAAGACTGGCTTGGGGCATCGGGGAGGCTTTTTATTCACTCTCTCATTTATTCACCTCATTATTTATTGATCATGCTCCTCAGCCTGGGGAGACTGGTAAACAAACCCAAGAGGATCTCTGTCCTCAGGGAGCTGAGTTCCAGTAGAATCGGTAAACAATTAACAAATCCAAAGCTAAATCTTTAAGCTCATGATAAATGTCCTGACAGAAGTAAATTGGCTGCTGCCCCAGAGAATGAGGGAAGGGGTGAGAGAGAAGCAGCTGCAGCCTGCTGGGGCCTGGGGGCTTCTTCCTTAAGCTGCAACCTCAAGAGTGAAGGAATCTGGTGGTGCCAAGGACCTGGGAAAGAACATTCCAGGCATGGGGGCAGAGAGTGCAAAGGGTGAGGCAGGGAGAGTCTGGTATATTCCAGAAACTGTCAGAGGGTCAAAGGGCCAGATAAGCAATGCAGGGGATGGGGGGTGCTTGGAGGAGGACGTGATTTTGAGCAGAGGCCTGCAGGGAGGATGGACAGCAGCTCCAGACACAAGTGGGGCCCCGAGGCACAGGAAGCTGAATGTGGCAGGGTGGGGGCTGGGCAGCTGGTATGTGGTAAGCAGATCCACCTGGCCAGAGAGGGATGTGTGCTGAGTGGGGGGTGTCAGGCACAGCTCAGAGCGTGAGCTGCGAGTTCCCTGTGGGCTTTTAGGGTCTTCAGGGTGATTATCCCCAAGGAGTTTAAATCCCAGTCTGGCCCACTGTCTGCGGCACACAGCTCTTATCTGCCTTACCCTGTTACAGAATTGAAATTTTCATTTGGGGTAACGTGGGTCTTCTCAGAGATTGAAATCTATGACTGTGTCTTCAGTTCTAAAATGTGTGTTAAACCAGCTCTGAAGTCAAGGCCACCTTGGGAGTCTATTATTTCATTTTCTTGGAGTGAGTCCGTTATGAGTTACTAACAATAATGATTCATTATCCCATTCTCACGCTGGCATGTGCTGATTTCCCCAACAGCCGTCGGAAGGAATTGCCCTTCTGATTAATCCTCTGCTGTGTTTTTCTACTTAGAATGGCGATTCAAGTGGACAAGTTCAACTTTGAGAGTTTCCCAGAATCCCCTGGGGAGAAGGGGCAACTTGCAAGTCCAAAGCAGCTGGAAGAGGAGCGGCAGGAAGCCCGAGGCCTGGAGATCAGCAGCAGACTGGACATTCGCTGGGGCATCATATCCTTCTCACAGTGGCCCACCTGGGACCTTGAGGGACCCCTGTCCAGGGCTTCTGATCACTGAGAAAGATCCAGGAGGTGTTTAGCTATTGAATTTCAACCACAGATGGCTCAAAAATGCCATGGTAAGGAGATGTGAAGCAACGGGTTGGCCTTCTCTTAACCTCTTAACGCTTCGAAGGCCCTACTTAGTGAAGTATTGATTGGATGTGAGGAAAGGTCTTCGTAGAGCTGGTGGTGTTCTTGTCTCTGGGTCGCATGTTTCTTACCAACCTTGATATTCATGTCAGTGACAGGTTCTGATGGCCACCTATCAGGGCTGGGCTTGAGGAGTTCACAGACTGACAGCTGAAAACACAGGTGCAATTGTCTGAGAAACTGAAATCAAGTTGTACAGCTTACTTAGGCATGAAGATGCCATTTCAGAAAGACTGAGACAGATTTCAGAAGGGCAGTGCTGTCAGGGAGTATTTCATAAAACTGCTGGGTCTGCTCTGAACATACTTGCCTGGCTTGTAGTAGGCACTCCACTGACCAGATGAACACTCTGGACAAACCCCAGATTCTTTCATTCGTGTGTCCAGCAGTCTTCACAGAGCACCTACTTTTGGGTCAGGCATTTTCTGAGGCACTTAAGAGGCTGGGATGAAAAATAAGGTCTCAGTGCAGTTGTGCAGTCTCGTGGGTTGTGGGTGTGTCATCTGGGAGGTATGCGTGTTGCAGGGCAGCAAGGACAGAGTCCTGGGCATAGTGTTGTCAGTTCAGATTAAGAAGTACTGTATGGGGACAATCAAGGAAGGCTCCACAGAGGTGGCAGCATTTGCATGGCTGTTAAGGGTAGATAAAGTTTATCAAAGGCACGAGGGTAGGAAGGGCCCCAAGGGTGCTGAGACATAAGAGCAGGGCTCGGGGGGATGTCTCCGTGGTATGTGCGTCTATTAATTGTCTTAGTTATGTGTGGGTTCTGTGGCTACGGTGATGCTCAGGTTGCGTGTATGGTCTCACATGGCTCCACTGGCCTCCTGGATTCTGAAACCACCCTGTCTACTTGCCCCATTGGTTCCTGGATTTGAGGCAAGTTTCTTCATTCAAACTAAAGTGAATTTGGGCCTGGTTGACCTACTGTCTCCAAGGAGTTTGTGACAAAATAAGCACTTAACATGTAGAGAGAAGGTTTTATGAACAGACACTAAAAATAGCGTACTTGGGACTGGCAGAGAACATGACAGCGGCCTGTTGAGGAGTTTCAGGTGTGGACTTTGGTGGTGAGAGAAGTGAAGAACTAATGATGGGAGGTATGCTCTTGTGGTCCCAGGACCCCCCACCCCCAGCCAGGGTCACCTGGTCCTTGCTGCTGGAATGTGTGGTGAGTGAGGGCACCAGGTAGGCACCCTCTGGCTGTGTGCTGGCATGTGGCATTCCACACCTCACCTGATGCTTCCCGTGGAAACGGCGCCTCAGCAAGGGGCATCCAGTAAGAGGTAGTGCCAGGGGCCAGCCAGCCACGTGTGCTGGCAAAGCGCTCACCCCAAGTCCCAGACTTCATGTGACAGGGCTCTACAAACAGCATGCAGACCATCAAACTGTGGAAGCAAAGGGCCGTGAGCCCTCGTGTCTGCTGTCTGTGCTATGACGCTGGAGCCAGGGCACAGCCTTCTGATAGGGTTAGAAGGAATCAAACCTTCTGCTATGGGGCCTCCATGTGAGGCAGGAGGTGCCCCTCACCTGTGGTCTCTGAGCTTTAGCTTTAAGCAAGAGGCCCCTCTCGGCGCAAGGCTGGTATGGACGGTCTGATTCAGCTTTAGCCAGTGGCGCTGGGGCTCCTGGTAGGAAGGCACTGAGAAGAAGGTTCTTGTGGAATGACCTCACTCAGCTCAGGTATAGCAGGAAGCCCAAGTGACTGCAGTTATGACCCCTGTGTCCCTGTGCCCCACAGAGATGGGGGCCCCCTCCCCGGGCCCCATTAGGAGTGGGCGCTCAAGTGTCCTGCTAGTGGCAGAGCCACCACTTCCCAGGTGCTGACCTAGGATGTGGCCGTGTCTTGCAGCTCAGCTCTGGCGCAGTTTCCTTGTCATGTCTGGCAGATGAGAACTGTGATTCCTGCTCACAGGTGAAAAGTAGAGGGGACAGTGCCAGAGCCCTGTGATCCGCCTCCGAGCCGGTGCTCTTTTTCCCATGGAAGCTGCTTTCTAATGGGATTGCAGTGACCAACAGAACCCCTATGTCCTTTGCAAACTAGTGTATGGAAAATGTCTTTGCATTTGACTTTCCTGTTTTCTATATTTGCTTAATAATTCATGCAAAAATATTTATTGAATGCTTACCGTGTGGCAGGCACATCTGTCCCACAAACTTACTGATAAGTTTATGAGAGATTGTTCTAATCAGCAAATTTAGTTAGAGACTTATCATTAAGGATATCCTCTCTCTCTCTCTGTCTCTCTCTGTCTCTCTCTCTCTCTCTCTGTGTCTCTCTCTGTCATCTGGTACTGACATCTGGCATGGGATGGATAGCAGATTTTTGCTATTGTAAACCTGAATCCAACCAGATGGAAAGACCAAAGATTGAATTGGCTATTAATTTCATTATGCATTTTAATATTTTCTAAATATTTAGACTTTATACAAAAATTTGAACTTAATTTGACACCTGTCCATGGTTATGGCTGTTGCCCATATGTAGCTCTAAGGCTGAGGAGACATGTTTTGAAGGGAATGGGGACCTCTCAGTGGATACATGCACATATGCACGTGGTGCCTGTGCCTTCCCCTGCGAGTGGGGCATCTCATGCCCATGGATGCCCATCTCCCATGTGGGCATTCCTGCTCTGGGCCCCAGGGAGATGGGCACTCACAGTGCGACACTGAAGGGCTCAGTGGGAGCTTCCACAGGGGAGGGTTTGCAGGGGCAGTGCTCTCAGTCTGTTCCAGAGCCTGGCAGGCAGCAGCCCCAAGGCGCCCGTGTGTCTGGTGACAGTGAGATAGGAGAGGGCAGTGGCCCCACAGCAGCCTCTTGCTGTGCTATGGTGTCGAGTCTTTCTCCTTGGGTCAGTGGGGACCCAGAAGGCAGAGTGTTGGCATGGCCAGATGATGTCTCAGGAAGCCACCCTGGCCATAGCGTGACCATGAATTCTGGGGCTGAGAACATCATTATGCTCCCCAGGGCTCACCATCATTTGGGTGGCTAACTGGCCTGGGCCACCATGGAGAGGTTGAGCAGGGGAGGAGCTGCTCTCTATGCACACAGTCTAAGCCAGGGACCATGGGGGACTGAACAGAGTGCCCTGAGAAAGAAGTGGAATTCAGCCATGCACCACATTAATTCAGTGCAGGGGGTGCTCCTCACCGAGGGCCTGCAACGTTCTGGTTTAGGGGAAGCACCAATGCCCTTTCTTCTGGTGAAGACAAAGAGCTATGCTCAGTGTCCCCCCCGACACTCCCGGGGCCTCCTCCATTGAATGTGACCTCTGAGTATCCCCAGCTGTGCTGACCAGCTTCTCACTACTTCAGGTCTCTTCCCCTGAGCCTCACACCTGCTTTGTGATGGAGGCAGCAGTATCCATCATAAGGAGTGTGAGACCAGAGAGCTTAAGGTGAGGACCCTTAGGATCACACCCCTAGGAAGAGGCCAAGTGCAGCAGGCATAGTGTTCCCAGGGTTGCATTCCATAGGCTGTCCAGAGAGGCCATGAGGGCCCCATCCCTGCAAAGGACAGAGTGACTTCATGCAGAGCAGGAGGCCCAGGCCAGATACTCATCCAAGCGATGGGGAGCCCTGGGGACCTTAATGTATATTCAGCCCTGGGATTCCCTCATTCTGGGGTGGAATTTGCACTCCTTGCCACTGAGCCTAACCAGGCGAACTAATGTATTAGGTACCACTTTCTTTTTTAAAGAGATCTCTGTTGGCAGCCCCATTTGTCTTTGTCATCGCCATCATGACTTCTTGTTGACGACTGTGTGTTGGCTGCTTGTTGTGTGGTCCTCACCATACCTTATGTATCCTTCAAGAGGCTGGGCAGCACGTCCCACAGGCACAGGAGCCCAGCCCGGGCAGTGGGACATGGCAGGTTCCCGCCATCCTCCCACCACTTCCTTCCCCGTATGATTTCAGCCATGGACTTCTTGCTTTGCTTCCCTGTTCTCACCATCAAGTGGGGACGGGGACAGCACCCACCTCCAAGGTGCTGATGAGAAGTGTGTGCATGGCCCATGCCTTGTGTGTAGCTGGGGCTCCCTCCTGTGCCGCCCACAGCCCCTGTGCCTCTCACTGCCACAGATGCATCTGGAGGCCCTGCACCGTCTCTGCCCCAGGACTGGAGTTCTCGCTGAGGACTCCTCCTGCTCTGTGTATTAAGCTCTTTCTCCTGCATCTGCATCACATAGTCCATATTGCCCACATTAGTCTAGTGGTTTTTAAAAGGAATTTTTCACCCAGAGCTTGCTTTCTTGATGAGAACATGCTTGTTTGTAAGTCTGTGCAGTTTCCCTGGGGGCGGAGGTGTCTCTGCCTGGCACTGGCAGCATCTGGCCCTAGGTAGCTGGGCTTATTTGATGTACATGGATGCTGTTGGGATAAAACAGCCCCTCACTTTCAGCTCCTTGGTATTCTGTCCTTTTAACCTTCTTCTTAACCTCCAGCTACCAATATTGGACAATTTTTACTGAACTTGGAAAACCTTAATATAGCCAACTCTTTGTGAACACTGTTAATAGCAGATAATAGCCTTCAGCACATGATCCAGAAATCTTCTCTATTTGACTTTGGTACAAGACTAAAGATGCTGCATTGTGGGGCCCAGAGCCCTGGGGTTAGCAGGCTGCCCCTGCTATTTGACCTAAAGTGTCTGTACCCTCCTCTGTCCAGCCAAGGAGAGGAAGCCTGCTGCAGAGTGTTGCTATTAGGGTGCCAAGCAGTAAACTAGCATTTCACTTACCCAAACCTGCAAAACAGGCAATATCTACACCTTTGAAAAATAAGCAAGTTTTGTAAGTTCAG